AGCCGAACTCGTCCTCACACTCAACAACTTCTCTTTCAATTCCTCCCACTTCCTACAGACAAAGGGGGTAGCCATGGGTACCCGCATGGGCCCAAGCTACGCCTGCCTCTTTGTAGGTTACGTGGAACAATCCCTCTTCCGTACCTACACCGGCCCTAAACCCCACCTCTTCCTCCGTTACATTGATGACTGTATCGGCGCCGCCTCGTGCTCCCACGAGGAGCTCGAACAGTTCATACACTTCACTAACACCTTCCACCCCAACCTTAAGTTTACCTGGACCATCTCTAACACCTCTCTCCCCTTCCTGGACCTCTCTGTCTCCATATCGGGCAACCACCTAGAAACCGATATTCATTTCAAGCCCACCGACTCCCACAGCTACCTAGAATACTCCTCCTCCCACCCACCTTCCTGCAAAAATGCGATCCCCTATTCCCAATTCCTTCGCCTCCGCCGCATCTGCTCCCAGGATGAGGCATTCCACTCCCGTACATCTCAGTTGTCCTCATTTTTCAAAGACCGTAACTTGCCCCACCTCAGTGGTCGAGAACGCCCTCAACCGTGTCTCCCACATCTCCCGCAACTCATCCCTCACACCCCGTCCACGCAATAAGAACCAAAAAAGAATCCCCCTCGTCCTCACGTACCACCCCACCAGCCTCCCGGATCTAACGCATCATCCTCCGACACTTCCGCCATCTGCAATCCGACCCCACCACCAAAGACATCTTTCCCTCCCCACCCTTATCTGCTTTCCGGAGGGACCGCTCTCTTCGTGACTCCCTTGTCCGCTCCACACACCCCTCCAGCTCCACCACACCCGGCACTTTTCCCTGCAACCGCAGGAAGTGCTACACCTGCCCCCATGTCTCCTCCCTCACCCCCATCCCAGTACCCAAGAAGACTTTCCACATCAAGCAGGTGTTCACCTGCACATCTGCCAATGTGGTATACTGCATCCGCTGTACCCGATGTGGCTTCCTCTACATCGGGGAAACCAAGCGGAGGCTCGGGGACCGCTTTGCAGAACACCTACGCTCGGTTCGCAATAAACAACTGCACCTCCCAGTCGTGAACCATTTCAACTCCCCCTCCCATTCCTCAGACGACATGTCCATCCTGGGCCTCCTGCAGTGCCACAACGATGCCACCCGAAGGTTGCAGGAACAGCAACTCATATTCCGCTTGGGAACCCTGCAGCCCAATGGTATCAATGTGGATTTCACAAGCTTCAAAATCTCCCCTTCCCCTACCGCATCCCAAAACCAGTCCAGCTCGTCCCTGCCTCCCTAACCTGTTCTTCCTCCCACCTATCCCCTCCTCCCACCTCAAGCCACACCTCCCATCTCCTACCGACTAACCTCATCCCGCCCCCTTGACCTGTCCGTCCTCCCTGGACTGACCTATCCTCTCCCTAACTCCCCACCTACACTCACCTTTACTGGCCCCATCCCCACCTCTTCGACCTGTTTGTTTCTTCTCCACCTATCCTCTCCTCTATCCATCTTCTATCCGCCTCCAACTCTCTCCCTATTTATTTCAGAACCCCCTTCCCCTCCCCCATTTCTGATGAAGGGTCTAGGCCCGAAACGTCAGCCTCTCTGCTCCTATGATGCTGCTTGGCCTGCTGTGTTCATCCAGCCCTGCACCTTGTTGTCTCGCATTCTCCAGCATCTACAGTTCCTACTATCTCCAAAACACAATTTAACCTGTTTCTCAATTCTATCCTAAAACACAGACTTGAATCTAGACAAACTACCAATATCAAATCTGAAAGTTCTACGCATATGATTTTCTGGAGTTTGTGTCCTGTAAATTGTGAAATCGTCTTAAATGATACTCAAAGATGAGAGCTTACATCCTCCCAACTTGTATTAACCTGCAAATTTTTAAACCAAGCAATCTCTGTCTGCAAGTTTTCATAAACTAAAAACTTTTCTCCTGAGGTGGTTGTTTCCTCAGAACTGCTTTAAAAATAACTTTTCTTGGAGAGGGACCAGATTTAGTTTTGAACTCAATCAGGCCTCCCTGAACTGCAATAAAAACTGTCAATTGCTGGGTTTTCTATGCTAAAACTCATTCGTTATTTTGAAATGAAAAGAAAAAGGCCTCCATCTCCTTTACCTGTCGTAACCCATCAGTGTAAACAATTTTCCATTGACACTCCAAGTGTCTACAGTCACTGTATTAGGGCATTTTTTTAAAAACAATGTCAGATTCTTCTTCTGGAACAAAGTCTTCTCAAAAGTAATCCAAAATCCAAATGCTAAAAATGGAATATAATTTATAATTAAGACCTCATTTAATTCAGATTGTAAACACTTCCTGTCATTATTATAATAAAGCTAGCTCCCTTATCCGAGAAACAGGCTCTTATTTCACTTCCTCTATGAATCAATAGATCAGCTCCCAACAAAGTGACAGGGTTGGACAGAATCAGCATGGATTTACAAAAGGGAAATCATGCTTCACAAATCTTAGAATTTCAAGCTTGTAACTAGTAGAGCCAATAAGGACAAACCAGTGGATGTGATTTATTTTGATTTTCAGAAGGCTTTTCATAAAGTCCCACGCAAGAGATTAACATGTAAAATTAAAGCACGTGAGATTGAGAGTCGAGTACTAACTGGGTGACAGACAGAAAAAAGGGGTCTCATTCCAAGTGGCAGCCAGTAACCAGAGAAGTGCCAAAAAGGATTAGTGCTTAGACCCCAGCTGTCACAATATAGATTAATAACTTGGGGGAACTAAATGTAGCATCTCCAAATATGCAAATGACAAAGCTGGGTGAGAAAGTGAACTGTGAGGAAAACCCAGACATCCTTCAGTGCAAGTTGGACAATGAGGGTGAGCGGGCAAATGCATGGTAGATGAAGTATGAAGTAAATAAATGGGAAGCTATCCATTTTGGTAACAAAAACAGCAAAGGGATCTTCTGAATGGTAATATAATTGAGAAAGTAGGAGCTGCGAGACGTGGGTGTCCTTCATACATAAGTTGCTAAAAGCATGCAGGTGCAGAAGGTGGTGATGGCAGCAAATGAAATGTTGGCCTTCACAGCAAGTGGATTCAAGTACAGGAGCTGGCTTGTCTTATTGCAATTGTACAGGGCCTTGGTGAGACCACTAAATTGTGTGCAGTTTAGATCTCCTTATCTGAGGAAAGATGTTCTGGCTAAGGAGGGAGTACATAGGTTTATCAGACTGATTCCAGAGATGGCAGACTAATGTAAGAAGAAAGACTGGATTGGATGGGAAAGTTTATAAGAATGGGGGGAGGGGTGGTGGGATTAGACAGGGTAAATTCAAGAAGGATGTTCCTTATGGTGTGGAGTCCAGAACCAGGGATCACAGACTAAGGAAACAGGGTAGTTCAGGACTGAGGCAAAACATGGAATGTCTTCAAGGAGTTAAATATAATTCTTAGGGTTAAAGGGATCAAAAAGGGTATGGAGAGAAAGCAGGAACAGGATATAAAGTTGGACGATTAGCCATGATCAAACTCAATGGGGAAAAGAGGTTCAAAGGGCAGAATAGCCTACTCTTATTCCTACTTTCTATGTTTTAATAAAGATTCTCAAGTGTCAAAGTGCAGCTCACAGATGCTGAACACAGCATAATACATTTTAGTAACCTAACACAAATCTGTTTTGGTGCTATTTCAAACCTTGGATCTGTTCTTAGTAGCGTGTTTACTTTGATTCTTCTGTAAGGAGGTCCGCCAGTTATACTCAGGAGTTTATCATAACTGCCCAATTTTTAGCAGCATGGTGAAGTAGGCTCATAATAAGAAAGCGTTGTATTAAATAAGCTGACTAATGAGGTATTCAAATTCTGTTCCTTTAAAACTTTTGATATTTTACCAGGGACTTACAGTTTCAAAGATGTCTACATTTGTCCTGTTTGTATTAAATGTAAGCATCGTGAGATCTGTAAGCTTGGACGTAATCACATCATTGCTTCAGCGTCAATTCCTGATTTGATGGGGAAGAGAAAATAAAAGATTAGGTGGTGGTAAGGGTAAGTAGAAGCGATTTATAAATAACGCATGCTAAAAAGTCACATGTTAAGTAAACCGAACAATTCTCAGTTTTTCAAAATGTTTTTGTCACCTGCAGGGATTATAACATGAAATTGTTAGTTTAAAAGGTTTCACTTTAAAAACAAAAGTACAGTAGTTACAAGACATGGAGAAATGTTCTTGCTGCACACCACATTATCAGTTTCTAGAATTTCACATCTAACCATGTGTACTTCAAGGTGACATACCCAGCAAAGGGAGAGTGCAACAAATGTGAAAACTATAGTAAAAGACTGAAAACACTGGAGAAGTTCAGCACATCTGGCAGCAACTGTGGAGAAAGAAGCAGAGTTGTATTGAGTCTGATCTCTGTTCCGAAGGGTCTTCAGTTCTGAAAGAAGAGCCACAGACTCCAAACATTAACTCACTTTCTCTTGCCACAGATTCTGCCAAACTGCTGAGTTTCTCCAGCACGTTCTGTTTTTATTTCGGATTTCCAGCATCCACAGTATGTTTCTTTTACGAAAACAGAGAAGTGTACTGGAAAGCCTGACTGCACTAGAGTGGGTAGTGGTCCAGCTGGTTTACATCACAAGTTACTAACATAACAGAATGGGCTGGCCATAATCTTTCACTTTTCCCTAGACAGAGGGAAGATGTCAGAGGATTAAATTGTGGCAAATGAGGCACTTTCATTCAACAAAGAGTATGCAAGGTTTCAGGAATAATGGGAGGAGGGAGGGGAATTTCAACAGATACATGAAGAGGTTTGAATTAATTAGGGTGATCCAGCACAGATTTGTAGAAAATCTAGCGAGACATGGCCAGTGTGAAGTGCACAGAAGTCACAAAATGTTTGAACCGCACGCAAGAGAACTTTTCACCCAGTACGTAACAAGCCGAATGGGAGGGTATGTAACCCTAGACATAGCCTCAGGAAGAGGAAGGTGAAGTTGAAGATGTAACAGTGGAGGACCATTTTGAAGACAGTGACCATAATTATGGCAAAGAACAAAGATAGATCAGGAGTAAGTTCTAGACTGGAGAAGAAGATTTTTTTAAACAAGGCCAAGAGGTAACCAGAAGTGGGCTAGATACAGTTATCAGATAGGAAATCATTGACGATTAATGGGAGACATTCAGAGATTCAACAGGCAGTGTAGACACATCCCTACAAAGAGAGGTACTGCCAAATCCATTGCCCCCTTGAAATATAGATGCACACACGACAAGATAAAACAGAAGAAAGCTTAAGACAGAAACAAGGAGCTTAATAGTGTAGAAAGATGACAGTACTGAAAGTAAAAAGGAGTGAAGCGAAAAGAAATTGCAAAAGCAAAGAATGTTTTTCATATCCTATCAGGTAAAATCAAGGAAAACCTAAACATGTTCTGCTAGTACATTAAGAGCAATGGGATGACTTAGAAAATGGAAGGACCTTTTAAAGGGATGTACAAGGTAATCCATGTGTTATGGCACAATATGTGGGAAAGGTTCTTAATAAATATTTTGTTCCTGTCTTCACCAAGGACAGATATGATGCAGACATTCTAGTTAAAAGGGAGTGTGAAATATTGGCTACAATAAGCACAACGAGAGAGGAATGTGTACAAATAGCCAGGGCCGGATGGAATTTATCCCTGGATGTTAAAAGATGCTAGGCAGGATTAATAGTAGATAGTGATTAATAGTGGATAATCCAAGGATAATTCTCTGATCTTTATTAGATGTAGGCAAGGAATCAGAAGACCAAAGGTCTTCAAATTTCTACTATCATTTCAAAAGGGTGAAAGGGATAGGGCAAATAATTATAGGCAGGTCAGTTAGACTTCAGTAGGGGGCAGATTATTGGTATCAATTCTGAGAGACAAGATAAACCGTCACTTAGAAAGGCAAAAAAAATCAATCAGGAATCATCAACATGATTTTTGTTAAGGGAAAAGTTCTGTCTTACTACCTAATATTTTGAAAATTTTGAGGAAGTATAGGAGGACTAGCAGGCTAATGCAATATATATTGTCTATGTGGATCTTAGCAAGGTACTTGACAAGGTCCCACATAGGAGAGTGGTCAGAAAAGTAAAATCCTGTGGTTTAACAAAAGAAACAAAGGGAAATGGATGATGGATGGTGTTTCACAGAGCTTAGCATGAGGGTCCTTGCTGTTGGTATATTTATTAATTATATGGACTTAAATGTGGTATTTTCATTGGGAAATTTGAAGATGACAAAAACTGGCTGTGCAATTGATAGTGAAAGTGATTTCTGCTGTCTCTACAGTGATGTCAATGGCTTGGATGAATGGGTAAAACAAAGCATTAAGCATTTGGAGAGCTAACAATGCAAGGGAATACACAATAAAGAGGATGATACTGAAAGCAGTAGAGGAAATGAGCAGAGTGCCTAAGCACAAGTCCATGAGGGTGTAGGACAAGTGAATAAAGTGGTACATAAAGCACATGGCTAGTTTCCTTTATTGGAACTAGAATAGAATACTGTTACGACTGAGGATGGAGGAGGCACTGTTGCTTCAGTCCCACTGCTCCCACTATTGGAAGAAGAAAGGAATATGGAATTCAAAACACAAAGAGATCAGCCAATGTCACTGAATGGCAAAGAGGCAGAAATGGCCTACTTTTATATGTTTAATTCCTACGTTCAATTCTACAGTTCCCCACAATATTAAAAAAAGGTGACAAATTAAAGACAGAACGACTGAACAGGTTTTAAAAAAAATCTGTCAATCAGGATCTATGGGGCGGCACGGTGGATCAGTGGTTAGCACTGCTGCCTCACAGCGCCGGGGATTTGGGTTCGATTCCACCCTCGGGTAACTGTGTGGAGTTTGCACATTCTCCCAGTGTCTGCCTGGGTTTCCTCCGGGTACTCCGGTTTCCTCCCACAGTCCAAAGATGTGCAGGCTAGGTGGATTGGCCATGCTAAATTGCCAATGGGTAGATTAGGTTGGTTGGGTGGGATGCTCTGTGGGTCGGTGTGGACTTGTTGGGCCGAAGGGCCTGTTTCCACACTGTAGGGGTTCTATGATCTATGATCAATGATTCTATGATCTAAAGAACCAGATTTCTTGACAAACACAATTAATGGTTTATTATTCAATAATTTTCCATAAATAATGATGCAATGATTGTGTATGCTAACCAGTCAGTAATGTAGAAGTATAAAACTTATCAAGTCAGAGATGCACAGCATGAAAACAGGCCCTTCGGTCCAACTCATCCATACCAACCAGATATCACGCACCACCTCCTGCATGAAAAAGATGTCCCTCAGGTCTCTTAAATCTTTCCCCTCTCACCCTAAACCTATGCCCTCTATTTTGGACACTCCCACCCTGGGGAAAAGACCTTGTCTATTTACCCTAACCATGCCCCTCATGATTTTATGGACCTCGATAAGGTCACCCCTCAGCCTCCGACACTCCAGGGAAAATAGCCCCAGCCTATTCAGCCTCTCCCTATAACTCAAACCCTCCAACACTGTCAACATTCTTGTAAATCTTTTCTGAACCTTTCCAAGTTTCACAACGTCCTTCCTATAGCAGGGAGATCAGAATCGCACACAGTATTCCAAACATGGCCTAACCAATGTGCTGTACAGCAGTAACACACCTCCCAACGCCTAACCATTTAAACATCCCTACACGCATATGCTCTCTCTCTCTCCCCCTCTCTTCAGGAACAGGGGAAAAAAGTCTCTGCAATTTAGCTTTCAGAGAAAAAAAATACACTTTGCCTTCAAGAATGACCCATTCGCCAAAGGATGAAGATCCCAAGTCTGTTGCTCTGCCATTTTGACCGATGCGGTCAAACTATAAATCTCACACCCTCCGAAGTCTTGCAAACACAGCTTGCTAAGGAAATGCAATCTTTACAATCACTCTTTCAAAAGAACAAATTGGTTTCACTTATTAAGAGGAATGAAAGTTCAGCTGGGCAGCTTGTTCTTAGTAAACTTTCCTCCAAATAACCAGTTAAAACAAAATACTTTTCAGGCTAGAAACTCTTCAAAACAATCCCAGTAGAGGTATATAGCAAAGCAAGTAGTTATCAATCTGTGATTTAGTGGATTTTTTAAAAAAACGTTTGTTATGGCCACAGTGAACTTTCATGACTACTTTTTAACAAACCATTCCAGGTTTACCCACAAAACTTGTCAAATGAATTCCTTTCTCCACAAACCTTCAAAACTCAAGTCCTCTAAGCAAAATTAAATGCAAAACCCCTTCATAACAAAAGCAGGGACAAAATGTTGTAACTGTATAAAATGAACAGCTTGAATATGTGCAGCTATTTGATTTGATTGATTTCATTGTCACGTGTACCTAAATACAATGAAAAGCTTTGTTTACGAGCAGTACAGGCAGATCACAGCCAGCAAAGGATGTACAGATCAAAAAGGGTTAGAGGCATACAGGTTATGCTGCAGGATACATTATTTGAGGCTACAGTCCATTCAACAGTCTGATAATGGCTGGAAAGAAACTGTTCCCGAAGCTGCTCGTGTGCGTATTCAGGTTTCTGTATCTTCTCCTAACAGAAGAGGAGGTTGGAGGAAGTCATTACTGGAATGCGATGGGTCGTTGATGACGTTGGCTCCCTTTCAGCAGTAGCGAGCCATGTAAATAGAGTCCATGGATGGAGGGTTGGCTTCCGTGATGGTCTGGGCTATACATACAAACTTCTATAGTTTCTTATTGCCCTGGGCAGAGCAGTTGCCATACTAGGCCATTATGTACCTGGACAGTATGCTTTCCACAGTGCATCTGTAGAAGTTGCCAAATTTCCTGAGCAGCCTGAGGAAGAGGAGGCATTGTTGTGCCTTCTTGACTGTCACATCTATGTGGGAAGTCCAAGACAGGTTGACAGTTATCATTACTCTGAGGAACGTGGCGCTCTTCACTCTCTCAACTGCTGTTCCATTGATGTAGATGGGGGCATTTTCTCCTCCCTTCTTTCTGAAGTTGAAGATTAGTTCTTTAGTTTTGCTGACATTGAGAGACAGATTGCTTACATTGCACCACGTCACCAAGCCCTCTATCTCCCTTCTGTATTTTGACTCTATGTTGTTAGATATCTGTCCCATTACGGTGGTGTCACCAGTGAACTTGTAGATGGCATTCATTTGGAAATTGGCAACATTGTCGTAGGTGTACAGGGAGCACAGTAGGGGGCTGAGGATACATCCTTGGGGGTTCCAGCATTGAGTGATGTGGATTTGGTGCCGTTACCTATCCTCACTGATTGCAGCCTATGGATCAGAAAGCCGAGGATCCACTTGCAGAGGGCGATGCTGAGACCAAGGTCACGCAGTTTTGAGATCAGTCTGGAGAGGACAATGGCGAAGGCGGAGTTGTATTCAACGAGCAGGAGTCTGACATAGGTGTCTTTGTTGTCCACATGTCCCACAGATGAATGCAGGGCTAGAGATATGACACCTTCTGTGGATCTGTTACGTCAGTAGGCAAACTCTAGGGGATTGGGGCAGGTTGGGAGACTGGAGTTGATGTGGGCCATGACCAGCCTCTCAAAGCACTTCATGATTATTGAAGTCAGAGCTATTGGGGGGTAGTCATTAAGGCATACTGTATGTGTTTTCTTGGGAACAGGGATGGTGGTGGTCTCTGGTCAGATTACAGGAAGGACTCTAGTGATAGCATGCACAAGGTTAAACAAATTGCTGCCACGGCTTAAGAATAGCGGCTATGAGGAAAGATTACATGGGATACAAGGGTGTTTTCCTTAGAAGAGGTGCCCAAGGAGTGATTTAATTGAGGTGTCCAAAATTATAAGAGGCCTAGATAAGGTCGTGAGGAAAGGCCTGCTTCTCCTGCAGTGGTAGGTCAGTCAGAAGTAACTTTACCTGATGAAGAAGCAGCATGCCGAGGACTTGCGATTTCAAATAAATGCACTACAACCTGGTGTCGTGTGACTTCTGACTTTGTCCCCCAGTCCAACGCAAGCATCTCTGAATCATAAATCTGTGCCTCCCTGGTAATTAAGGTGTTTGGTAGAAGGATTACAGGAGATATGAAGGAAAACATTTTCTCCAGGAGAGTGCTGGAATTCATTTCCTGGATTGCTGATCGAGGCAAAAACTCTGAACTCATTTAAAAAAAGGGACCTAGAATTAGACCCGACATGCTGCAATCTGTAAATCTATGGACAAGGTGCTGGAAGGCGAGATCAAAATTAGCAGCTAGATTTGGTTTCCTTTTATTTGACTATCATAAACGAAAGGATGAATGGCCTCTTTCCGTCTCAAAATTTTTCGAAGATTCTACGGTTCAGATAGCATTTGATGAATCTAACTGCATTTTTTAATGAAATAAGACAGACTGATGGACAGTATAAAATGGGCGTTTTAAAAAAAGCTTTTGACAAAGTACCAGAGAAAAAGCTGGTTAGTACAATTGAGGCTCATGTAATAGGAAGGCCAGTGTACTCTTGGATAAAATACTGGATCATGAATAGACAATAACAAGCTGTGGTAAATGATTGTTTTTCAGGCTTGAGGATGGCGGAAACTGATATTTCTCAAAAAAAAAATCAGTGCTACGACCATTGCTTTACATGATACACACGAATTATTTGAGAGACTGCATATAGATACAATAATGAGGTAATATTTTAAAAGTTGCCATGAAAACTAAGTTTGGAGATGTGGCAATGAGGATGACACTAATCACTGCATCAGGACATGAGCAGGATAGGGTCACTGGACCCGAAATGTTAACGGATTTCTCTTCAGATGCTGCCAGATCTGAACTTTTCCAGCAACTTGTTTTTGCTTCTGATTTACAGCATCTTCAGTTCTTTCAGTTTTTATTTACTAAAAGTCTGTTAGCTTAATATTTGTAAAATGTTACAGTCTATTATAAAGGATGTAACAGTAGGTCATTTAGAAATAAAATAAATAAGCAGACTCAGCATGGCTTCATGAAGGCGATATCATGCCTATCATATTAGAATTCTTAGAGAGGGGATAGGAAACAGGATAGATGAAGAGAAACCAGAAAATGTAATATGTGGATTTTCAGGAGATGGTTGATAAGGTGCCACCTCTAAGGCTACTTAATACGGTGTCAGTGGTAGTATACTAGCATGGATAGACGAGTGGCTAAATAATAGAAGAGGCATTTTCATGAAGACAACCTTTAACTACTGGAATACCACAGGAATCAGTGCTAGGGCCACAATTTTTTATACTGCATATTAATAACTTGAACAACAAAAATGGGTGAGTTGCCAAATGGCAAAAAACACAAGATAGACTGTAGAGGGATACATACAATGTAACTACTTTAAGACACTAAGAAGATCAGATCAACAGAGCTTTTGCGTTACTACTTCCCAGATCCCTGAAGATCACACGATAGCTTATTAGGATAGTTAAGGCAGCAGACTGGACACCTGCATTTTATCAATCATAGCATTGATTATAAAGAATAGGGAGGTCATGTTGGAGCTGAAAAGATTAGGCCACAGCTGGGAGTACTGTGCGCAGTTCTAGTCACTAAACTATGGGAAAGATGATTGCACTGGAAATACAAAGGAGATTCACCAGAATGTTGCCTGGGATGGAGCAATTTCAGCTATGAAGAAAGGCTAGATAAACTCAGGTTGTTTTCTTTGGGGCAGAGAAGGTTGAGGAGGGACCTGACAGGGGGGGATAAGATTATGAGGGGCATGTATAGGGTGAATAGAAAGCAGCTTAGTGAAGGGTCAATAATGAGGGGGCATAATTTTAAAAAGAAAGGTAGGAGGTTTAGCAAGGATTTCAAGAAAAACGGTTTCACCCAGACAGTGATGAGAGTCTGAACACACTGCCTGGGAGGGTAGTTGAGACAAGAAACCCCACTACCTCTAAACAGTAGATGGGATGAGCACTTGAACTGTCATATTTTTCGCAAGACAGACTCAACGGGCCTAAGGACCTCTTCTGTACTGTACGATTCATTGTTCCAAACAGTGGGCAAAAGAAGAAACTTGACAAGATGGTATATAAAATGGGAAAACGTGAGGTTATGCACTTTGGCAGTAAAAGTAGAACAGCTGCAGAATGTTGCAACATGGACTTATTTGGGGGTCCTTGTACATTAATTAAAACATCCTAGCAACCAAGTTCAGCAGGTCAAGGTAAATGGGAAGGTAAATGGACCTCTGGCCTTTATTTGAAAATGAATAGAGTATAAAAAAAGCACTAAATTGGACCACACTTGGAATATTGTGAACGGTTCTGCTCTCCTTATCCAAAGCGATACACTGACACTGCAGGCAGTCCTGGGAAGAGTCACGAATTTGATCCTGGATAAGGAGCAATTGCCTTCTAAGAAAATGTTGAGTAGGTTGAGCTTATGCTCATCAGGAGTTTAGTAGCAGTAAAGGGGGCCTTATTAAAACATACAAGATTCTTAGAGGGCTTGACAGGCGAGATGTGGAGAGGCTGATAACCCCTTCTGGGAAAGTCCAGGATCAGAGGGCAGAATCACTATGAGTTGCCCATTTTGACAGAAATAAGGAGGCTTTCTTCAAGGAAGGTACTGAAATTTTGAAATTCTGAAATGAAGGGGGCTGTCAAAGCTGGGTCAGTAAGTACATTCAATGCTGAGATAGACAGATTTTTAGTCAGTAAGAGAATCAAGGCTTGTGGGGCAACATCAGGAAAGTGAAGTTGAGGATGATCAGATCAGCCATGATCACACACAATGGAAGAGTAGACAGGTCAGGCCAAACAGCCCATTTCTGCTTGTGTCTTCCAGTCTTTTAAATTTCAAAGTTCAAAACTGGAATAGTGCTCTTGGTGCTTCACCATTCAACAAAACAATGTACACATTTCAGACCAACTGATATTTCAAATACCAACAATAGCAATTAAAGCCTACAGTTAATTTGTCAGTTGCTGTCAACATACCTCGAACACTGATGCTTTGCTGGTTTGAGTCCAAGGCAGAGTTTCTTTGAGCAGGAATAGCCTAAGAAAATTAAAAATAAACGTTATTCATCGCTCCCACTGAGGAGCTGTCTTGATGCTGTGGATGCTATTTCTTCAGAATGTACAAAACATGTTCATAAGCCAAGTTACCACATTTGTTAGCTTGGACAAGAGGCAGCTTTTGATGACACAAGAAAGATCATAAATAAGAGGAGGAGGACATTCATACTCTCAAGCCTGCACCACCTCCACATTTCTGCCTGGTGCAAAGAACAAAAGGGAAAGTATGTCTCAACCATGGCTCATGAAAGAAATTAAAGATGTATTAGATGCAAAAGATGACATAAAATTGTCAAAAAAGCAGCAAGCCCGAGAATGTAGGGCATTTTAGAATTCAGTAAAAGAGGCCATAAAGTTTGCTAAAATGCAGGGCAAAATACAGTACAAGAGGAAAATTGCAGGGAACATAGAAGTTGATAGTAAAAGCTTCTCTAAATATGTGAGGAGAAAAAGATTAGGAAAGACAAACGTAGGTTCCTTTCAGACAGAAGCCGAGGAAACTATAAGTAGGAAAATTAAAGAAATGGCAGAAGAACTGAACACATTTTGGTTCCGTCTTCACAAATGAAGGCACAAAGAGCCTCCCAGAAATGTGAGGAAGCCAAGCAAGAGGTCGGAATGGAAGAAAATCAGAATTAGTAAATTCCCCACACCATTTTCTTAATGGAGGTAAAGGCTAACAAATCACCAGGAACTGATAATCCACAGCCTGGAGTACAAGAGGAAGTGGTCCAAGAAATATTGAATGCATTGGTGGTCAACTTTCAAAAAAAATTCTGCAGACTCTGGAACAGTTCCAACACATTGGAAGGTGGCAAATGTAATACCACATTACACTGTAAAGGGAGGGAAAGAAGAAAAGAATTACATACCAATTAGACTAACATCAGTAATGGGGAAAATACTATGGTCTATTATAAAAGACTGGGTGACAGAACATTTGGAAAGCAACAACAGGTTTGGAAAAAGCATAGGAAAATATGAACTTGTCCTTTGGCAGGTTTAGGAAGACAGTATATTATTTAAATGGAGAAAAGACTGCATACCTCTGAGGTACGATGGGATCTGGGGGCCCTGATACACGAATCACAAAGTTAGTATGCAGGTACAGCAAGTGATTAGAAGGAAATGAAAAATTTGTTATTTACTGCACAGGAAAAGAATATTAAGAGCAGAGATGTTTTCTATAGATCAGCAACGGGGATATTGTGTACAGTTTGGACTTATTTAAGGAAGGATATAAATACCATGGAAGCAATCAGAAAAGATTCATTCAACTGCTAAATAAAAACCAAAAGAACTGCAGATGCTTTAAATCAGCTGTTCTGAGGAAGGGTCACCAGACCCAAAACGCTAACGCTGTTTTCTCCTTCACAGATGCTGCCAGACCTGCTGAGCTTTTCCAGCAACTTTGTTCTTGAACAATCAGTTGCTACCTGAGATAAGCAGGTTATCTAACAAGGAAATAGTTGGACTGGCTGAAACTGTGTACAATGAGATTTTGAAGAATAAGAGGTAATCTTACTGCAATGTACAAGATCCTAAGGGGATTTGACAGAATGGCTGTTGAAAGAATGTTTTGCCTTGCGGCTGAGACTGGAAAGAAGATACAAAGTTTAAAAATAAGGGTGTGTTTCCATTTAAGTAGGCAATGTGAGATTGTAAGGCCGGGTCTTTGAACTCCTTTCCTGAGATAGCAGTGGAGGCAGACTCATTGAATATTGTTAAAACAGAGGTAGATAAATTCTTTGTTTATGTGGAGTTGAGGTCAGAATCAGATCATCCACAATCTTGCTGAACAAGAGGTTTGAGGGGTTAAGTGACTTATTCCTGCCTCTTGTATGTTTAGACATAACACCAAATAATTTTACATTAAAATTACCCATTACCCCATACGATGTTTTCTTTGAAAACGTTAACACGGTTGTGTGTAAATTAGTCGATGTAGGCCCCAGGCATCAATTACAGAGGTTTACCTCAAGACTTCTGATTGGTTCAAAGAACAAAAACGTTTCCAACACCATCACCCCCCACACCAAGCAATATTTTAACTTGTTAGCTCATAATTGTGACACAAACTCACTCAGTAATCAAACTAAAACATGAGAACACTTGAAAGTACAGCTATTACAGTCAATCTATAATGCTAAATACTATTGCTAACAAAATTACCAATTATTCTGAGATAACAAGGTGTAGAGCTGGATGAATACAGCAGGCCAAGCAGCATCATAGGAGCAGGAAGGCTGACATTTCGGGCCTAGACCCTTCATCAGAAAAAACCCTTCTGAGGAAGGGTCTAGGCCCGAA